TTCTCCGCGCATTGTAATACAGTTGATTAATTTTTTTTTGTTTTTTTTTGATAATTTTGTCTTTCGCGAAATTGTTTTCCCTTTATTTGCTGGGCTAAACGTCGTAAGTATATACAATAACGTTCCAGCACGCGTTTTACTGAAAATAAATTAAAACGTCTCGAGTCACTGCGTTGTACTTATTGTTTGGCGCGAGAAAGGCACGAAACAACAAGTCGTATACATATAATTGAATGACTTTGGCAGTTTATTGGGTTAGGCTATTTAGCAAACCATAGTACGTCAATTTTCAAAATTCAATTCGGAAAAGCCTTCGGCCGTGCTTTCTCGGCACAAAATATTTAACTCGGCGACGGTTCCCAACGCGAGCGATACCGCACCGCCTACTTCGGGCGTTTATAGTTTTCAGGGCGCGCTAATAAGGGGAGGCGGTCTAATGTGTCGCTTAGAAATTTTGTACGACTGTTTTTATTATATGCTTATAGTTATGTAACGTACTGATTGTCGAAAAGCGAAAAAAAAAAAAAAAACGTCCGTTTTATAGATACTATACCGATGCAAAACACTTCGTAAAATATTCGTCCGCGTGTAATTTCCCGACAACATTCTACGCGAACCGTTATCAATTATTTGTCGCGCGATACAATCTGATTTATGTGATTAAAAATAACATTTTTTTTTTTTTTTTTTCAACATATCCATCGTTTGCCGTAGTCGGAATATTCTATTCTATAAGAGTGGCGCGTCCAGGCATATTCATCGTGAGGGGACGCGCGGTAAATAATAACACAATCGAGTGTAAACCGTAGAAACTTCTTCGATAATATTATACCCGCCCCGCGACCCGACAACGGGAATTTAATGGTCGGACCTAAACGATATCAACTTACTATTATTCGATAAATCCAGTCTCGTTACGCGTCCGAATACTCGTGTTAAGTTATTCGTTCGGTATTTAAAATATTTCGGAAATACATTAAACAATATTTTTATTATTTTATTTTTTTTTTTTTTATCGTATTTTCATTACTTATGAACGTGTATAACATACCACACTTTTGTTCGCGTCGCCGTTAAATTACAATACTTTCGTATATTCTGTGACGACTTTGGATTTTAATTGTTTCAGAAATAATATTTCGTACAACGATTCTAGGAATTTGTAATAAGATTGCATTAACATTTCGTTATTGTTACAAATCGAAAACCCGTTATACTATACGGTGTAATCTGCTTATCTAGAGCCAACCTAACGTTCACATATACTATTAAATGATATGCTAATACAATATAAAACGTTTGAAGTTTTCGAACGTATTCGAATTACACATCCGTAAGTAAGTTAGTGTTTATTCGTAATTTGTCAAACACCAAAAATCTTTCGAGGCACATCGATTATGAAACGGTAGGGGGGAGGGGAAGTATTCGTATTTATAATAGAATACATTTTTAAAAGGAATTTTTCAATTACAATTTACACTAGCAGGTATCGGCAAACGTGCGTTTTAAATACATTTTTAAAAGTATAATTACTGTCAAATTACTAAGCGCAAACATAGTTTTTGTATTTTGAAGCTAATGTGGGGGGGGGGAATTAACCTCGATCGCCCTTTCCCTTCTTGCGTACACAACAGATTTACAACGATTCGATAGCTTTTCAATGTTATAGTAATATTATTCTAATGCAGGGGATTAAACGCGAATTATTTTCGGTACACAAAATAATTATAGCAGTTATAGAGGTAAATATTTTTCAACAATATTACAAAATTATCATCGAAGCGAATCGTTTAATGAATTATGAATTTTGACGGTTAAATGTTCTCGTAATATTTTCGATTTTTAAAATGGCATTCGGCCAATTCCGACGCGCAATGTCGTAATCAACTATGTGTACATACAGGGTGATTTATTTAGTACGCCCACCCCACTTTTCGGGGATATATTATGCATACATCCAAATTTCGATTTTGGAAATTTTTAGGTATACGTATAATGAGAACCTGTATTAAAAATTCGATAAATAGATAGAGTATACTTTTGATAAAATAAATATTGGCGTTGAAATGTTTGATTTCCGTCAACTCGTTCACGAAATATTCCACTTTTAATTTTGGGCAGTGGAACGGTAGTGGAGCATGATTTGTGTAGTGGCACAGCGCCCGGTGATAGAACAGTGCTCTACTATTCTACTTTTGAAGATATTTTTTTTTTTTTTTTTAGCATATCACTACAATGTACCAATTATTATTGTTAATAATATTAATTTCGATCGGTTTAATTTTTAGTTAAAAAATAGTCAAGTTGAATGTGTATATCCATATCCTACCATTCTACTGTTATTTATACGTATACAAGAAATCGCAGTGTTTTGTGCAGTACACGGTGATCTTTTTGGATTTTTATAGGTATCTATACAGAACTCCTACACATTTATTATTCCAATCTGTGGAAATAAAAGTATATAATAGTAATACAATTAACTGCAGTATACAATAATAAAACGGTATACAGTGGAGGGGGGAGGGGATGCCCAATTTAAGCGCAGGCTAGACGACAGAAACAGAATATTCCTCCGGCATTCCGCACGGTATTTCTCAATTCTCAAACTATGTGTACTCGAGTACACTATGACTATACTGCAGTATACTATTGCGGCGATGGGGGGGTGAACTGTTGAAAATCTCGATAAATGCAATGGTTAAAGTACGGCCCGACATAAATTACAACTACTTTACTTTTTTGGGGTCCTGCTTAAAAAAATCGTTGCGCTTTTATTAATCGAAAAAGGGTTAGAAAAAAAAAATATATCAATGGAAAAATTATTGGAACTTTCGAAGGTTAGGATCGAAAGATATTTGGACTTAAGTATCATCGAGCGAAAAATCCGCACTATTTGAACGCATGACTAAGCGAACCGAAAAAATGTTTTTCGGGGGGGAGGGGGAAATAAAACCACATTTTATTTCTAAAACTAATGACTTCTTTTGTTATGCTCTGCAGAATCTCAAATGTTGGCATACGTTTGAAAACTACAATAGTTTATTATCGATGGGTTTTTTTTTTTTTTTTTTAACTAAACGGACTAAATTAAACGTTTTCTATATAATAATATTATGTTATTATTATATACGAACCACCCATACCATCGGAATATCAAAATTTATTTAAATGTTATAAAAGTATTATAATTGTAACGGTGCAGTTTATTTTGGATTTATCAATATAATGACACGGGTTTTGAACTGGACGACGGTAATACGAACAACATGCTCCTATAATGGCGGATATTATGATAAAGCTAGTTTTCGGAAAATTGATAAGGGGAAACCAGATACAATATATGCAGTAGCGTAGCCACAATTTATAAATGGAGAGTTTGGGGGGAGGTGTTCAGGAGGATTAAAGGGGGAACTCTTGTCTTCTTCGCCTATTACCTATGGCTAAAACGAAATAAAGTAATGGGGTGGTTACACATTATCCAAAATTCCCTATTGCAGGTTACGCAACTTACTTTATGTTCCATAATTAGTCCACGATGGCATCGGACGGCAACTAAAATGGCTTTATCACATCCCTCGTTGACAAGTCGGTTGATGAGATGCGGTTGTTATCAGTGATGCCACTTATTCAACTCGTCATTTAATAAAGTATTTTATATAATATGTATATTTAAAACGATAATTTAAAATTTCTTGATATTTTGGAGAGGGGATTCACCCAGTGGCGTGCTAGAAACTCATAAATTTCAACCGATTTCCGAGAAAAAGCTTAATGTATTGATTAGAAATTGGCTTTCTTTTGAGGATCCAGCATTGAAATTACCAATTTCCATAGTCGAGTTGTGTAGAGAAGACGATTTTGCTTTTCTCTCGCGATTTTTATTTGCTACATTCTTTCCCATTGAAAATTCCTGGGCCCGCCACTGGCTTCAACCCCTCAGCCCCCCTGGATAAGTCATTGGACCCGTCACGTTTTTCTTCGGAACCCGACGACCGACCGACGTGGTTTTTCAACGGCCAAAAGTTATGTGGATTTTAAGTTTTAACACAAGACACTATAAAACTTTCTCGGGAAGGCAATAGTTTGGACGTTAAAGGATTTGTATTTTCGACGTGGGTGTCGCCACGGGTCGCCACTATACACAACCAAATTATTATGCGTACATCAAAGAGTGTAGATAACCTTATCGTTTTTCTGACAGCTGTTATAATACTACCCTCGTGTTCGGCACTATACTATTTATTTATAGATAAAAGTTTATTACAGAAAAAACAAATGTTTTTTTTTTTTTTTTTGTTTTTACTATTTTTATACCGTCCCGTCGCGGCTTCGTGGCTGGTGGGGAGTGCACCGAGGGTTGATATTATCATAATTAGCCTACGCGCGCAGCTCGTCGAAATATTTTAAAACGTTTAAGTTATTTTTCTTTCGGATGTTCTTCAATTTACTATAATGTATACACGTATATAGTTATACATGTCAGTAAAAAGTACTAAAATCAAAGTAAATATAATATCGTTTTAAGGCTATAATATAATACCTCACGGCTCTAACATCAAAGACTTCATTTTATTTTTATAAATCGGCGAAAATAGTACTTTTAAAAGTACACGGTATAACTTAATTTGATTTTGAACGTTCAAAGTATGTGCACCTACTTACATAGTATGTATACGCGTATATATATATATATATATATACAAACGTATACCTATATGTTTCGATCGTGAATTTTTTCACCTAATTAAATTACGTAAAAAGAAAAAAATCGGAATACCAATTTAAAAAAAAAATAACGTATATTTATATATATACATATTACGCGATTGTTCTTATTTTGTATACTCGTACATTGTCGGTGGACGAACGATCGTATTTATTTACCGAATTAAATACCCGCTGCAGTCAAACAGTTCGACGTCACTGTATACGCATACGTAAAATACGTGTTTAATGATAACAATGTACACGTCAAAAACAAAAAAAAAAAAAAACAAAACCAACAAACCTATTAGATAATTAATTTGTTATATAGAGTCGTCTTGAAAAAATACATCGCTCTCGCGCACGGGTAATTGTTTATTTAATAACAGTCGGTACAATATTTTGTGTAGTATCGTACGCCGCACGTTGAATAATCCTGTGTACCGACGACGCTGTCGGGATCGGTAAATTGGGTCCTAAATGATCTTGTCTCGATAAATTGAGTCCCGGAAAAAAAGAACAAACGTATATTGTATAATATACAAGTCGACTTGTATAATTGTAGTATGAATTCCGTAAAAAGTATAAATAAACTAAAATAAATCTTATGGTAAAAATTAAAAAAAAAAAAAAAAAAAAAAAAAAAAAAAAAAAAATGAAATTTCTATAATTATAATTCAATTGAAATAAGTGTACATGTTTTATTTTTTATAATACTGTGTTCTCGGTTAGGTACTTAAGGATAACGATAAGGATTTGAAAACCTCAAATCGGGTTATCGTATCAGTGCAGTGTATTTCGTCGTTCCCTTAATGAGTGTTGTTATTTATCGAGCGCGCTTTTCCTATTTTGTTTTGTGTTTCGTAATTTTACACGCGTCCCTGATTGTACTTCTAATAGTTCGTCAACAAACCACCGTAGAATTCATTGCTGTCCGGGCGGTGTACCACCGTTATATATGCACCCGGTATGTTATGTATAGGTTGGTAAGTGGGGTTATAGCCGGGACCCAAAATCACCTACCACTTTTTTACATCCGGCACCCCATTTTACCGCTTTCAAAATGTGTACACAAATTTTCGCGGACCCAATTTACCTACCCCTGACGTTGTGTTATCGTTATCGGTTCGGGTCGATATTGTAATTTATTGTTTTATACGCGTATACGAGGATATATCATAATTTTCGAGTTGGTATGACATCGATTATATCCGTTAACCGTTAACGAGTGCGAGGCGAACGGCAATGTCGTCGCCGCGTAAAGTCCTCTATACGATAATATTCGAATATTAACGTACGGGGGTAAAATGGCTGTACGAGCGTCGAGTGTTACTGTGTGGGCAACAGGGCCGCGCACGCGGGTGAAGGGGTGAGGGGCGAGGGACGGGACCGCGGCGAAGGAGACGCGAGCGCACACGCGGGGCGCGAAAATGCCCCGAAAATCTATAAACGCGGCGTCCGGAAAAGAAGAAATTCGCGAGTCGTAAGAGTCGTAACGCCTCCGTTTCGTGAACGTTTATAACTATTTTCGCCTCGGGATTTCGTTACGGACCGGAGGAGCGAATATATCGTCGGGTTTCGCGCGACATTCGATCGCTACGATCCCGACGGCAAGAGGGGATATATGGGGGGGGGGGTATAGAGGTTTGATCTACCCGTCGTCGCCATTTTCTCTGTTTTTCCTTCTAAGTTTAAACTATCGTACAAACACGAAATTTATCATTGTTCGACGTCAAACCAATAAATATAATCGAGCGGAATTTTTTTCCATACAATCGTCTATAATATGTAGATAGCGATAAATCTATCGTATAAGACACTCGTTATCTCGGAAAATGTCAACTTTTTCCGGAATTTGTTTCTACAATGTTTAAGAAACAGAAAGCTGCTCTGCGATTTCTTATGTTTTTGCTCAATTTTTTTGTCACCCTTATTCCCGGGGGTATAACCACTACCTACTTTTGATTTTTAAATGGCAACCTGTATTAAAAATTCCATAAATAGACGTAATATTAGTTAAAATACATTTCGGTGTTGAAATTTTCGATTTCCGTCAATCCATTGACGAGATATTCCGCTTTTAAGTCGTGGGAGAGGAGTAGATAGTATTTTATCCCTAAAAGTCAGGGTGAAAAAAAAAGATCTACGTGTCTTATGATACTTATGATGATCACCCGGCGTTGTGTCTTCTCACGGCCTCGTAGTCATACTATCGCGTATAATATTATACCGTCGCATACTAGGCACTGACTCCACGGAGTCTACGGGGAAAATCGACCCCCCGTACTTCAACTATAACGGAGGTAAAACGTAAAAATAGTATTTGGCTTTTGCGTGCAAAAATTATTTGATTATTAAATGCTATATAGATATATAGCATTTATATTTAATAAGTTTTGACACGGAAATCGTTGTTCATCAAACAACAATTTATTGTCTAAATATGGCTAGAGAAAAAGTACCACGATTATGACGTTATTTGTGCATAAATAATATCCGTCTACAGTAGTTTAAGTTTTTTATTGCCCCCGTGCTAAATTCGGCGCCTAAGTAATGACGTCTGTACTTATCGTGCGTTTGATATTTTGACGAGGAATAAAAACCCAATCGGAGAGATAAGGAACAGCTAAAATATCGGGAGGGCGCGAGAGAACGGTAAACGTTTCGTACTCAGAGACGACACCGCCCATCTTCTCGTTCCTCTCCCCCCCCCCTCATTGGGACCGTCTCTTTGACCTCGCGCCCCTTTCGAAAATCCCGTATACGCCACTGCGGACACGCAGTAAGTTATAGTATATAGGCGCATATTTATTTAACGGCGAGACGGGCGGCGTCGGACGTTTTTAAAATGATTTTATCGTACCTATATACATTCAATTTTGTGCGTATAATACGGTATATGACGATTGATGTTGTTCGTCGTCGTTGTTTGTTTTGTTTTTTTTTTTTCTTTCTTTTTTCGTTTATATCCGAACAAATATTGTAAGTACAAAGCGCACCGAAATTATTGTATCGCAATAGTAAACATTATCTCCGAAAGGCCCATCGGAAGCTGCCGGTCTTAATATGTACCGTTTACTATCGTATACAAATATATTATTATTGAAATATTGTTATCGACGAGTGACTTCGGGAAAAAAAAAAAAGTAATACAAACACAAATATTATACGTAAATCTCGCGGTTAATACGCTGTTTTTTATTGTTTTTTTTTTTTTTTTTTTTTTTTTTCCTTCTTCGTGCGAACGTCGTTCGAGAAAAAAAAAAGACTAATCTGAATAAATTACG